AGTTCCAATATATCGTCAATGGGCGCCACATACTTCAGCTGCAGATAGCTGAAAGCAGCGCAGTTCAAGGCTGGCTCTGGCTCTGGCTCTCTGCTGCTGGCTCGTGGTTAAGCCCCCTAATTGCGTGGCCCGTGACACCGCAGAGGCCCCTCACTGTGTCGCCTCCTCGCATTTGAGTGTAAGTGTGTGTAAGTGTGTGTCCCCCGAAAGTGTGTCAGCTGTGTGCAGCAGCCAGCGTCGAGAGTCGAGAGTCGAGCGTCGAGCGTCGAGAGCCGTGCGGCAGGCAGGCATCCTGGCAGCGTATGTGGCAATTTCTGAATCGCTTAAGTTGTTGCTGTTTCTGCGGTCGATTTTCCATTAAATCGAATCGTCCTGGTCCTCGTATTGGTTTTGCGGTCATTTCCACCGCTGTCCGTCGCCCACCCCCACCCGGTCCACTGTCCGGTGGTTATTCCGCACTCCACGTCCCCAGATCCGACAGATTCGGTAGATGTAATGGCGGCGGCTCCTCTGGTCTCTGGCCGGTCTCGGCAATCGAGTGTTTTCGGTAGTTAAGGAAATGGACTCGCCTGGTCAACATTCGGTATACATTTTGCCCGAGTTTCCCCCAGATAGCGCAAAATATAACAAAGTTGCGCAACGCATGGAAATTCCATTCAAAGGGAAAATGCTTCGAACGTTCGAACGTTCGAACGTTCGTTCCGTGATGTATTTTCATTGTAGTTCAATAAGTGCGAAAGTTCCACGAATAACACGGAGGAAATGGGAGGGCGAACGGCAGAACGGGAGAGCTGGAGAAATGGAGTTTTGCAACAATGTTTTATCCATGGCACACATAAATTATTCCACACTGAAGTAAAGTCGCCGTCGCCTTCGCCTTCGACTCGCCTTCGCCTGTTTTTTTCCACTTGCTGTGGGAGGATGTTTGTCAAAGTTATATTATGATGTTTAGTGTTTAGTTTGTGCTGTCCTTTGGCAGTGCGATGCACGCCTCCACGGCTCTGGCAGACTGGCGGACTGGCTAAGGATTAGTGTATCCCGTTGTCTGCCCTCTTGGTGGGGTGGGGGTGGGGGTGGGGCTGGGTGGCCACGACCACAGAGGCCTCAGATGTTAAGGCGGCTGCCCTTGATGTTGCGTTGCCTCCATGTCCTTTGTGCAGCGAAGTGCAAAACTTTTCAATGGGCAGCCGAGTGGAATTGACTGCACACGTAAGCGAGGATATGGCTGCCGCTGGTGCTGCCGCTGCTGCTGCCTTGGAGCCTGCTGCTCGACTCTTTTTCTCAGCTTTTGTTTCGAAGGACTTTTAACGAATTTCATTTAACAAACTGCGGCTCCCCGGACACATGAAACAGAAGGTGTTGCCCCAGAAAGGGAGTCAAACAACGGCCACAAATGCCCCAATTGTGTGTGTGTGTGTGTGATGTGTGTTTGAATGTCTTTATGTGTGTGGGCCAAAGAATGCTCGTTGATTATTTATGGGGCACCCCGGGAAAACGGGGGAGCATTCATTAAATTTGTATACTCTGTAGGATACGAGGTACGAGTGTGGGCACGCGTGTGGGTCCTCTCCTCACGGCCAGGGAAGCTTCTGTCGGCTCTGTCCGCTCTGTCCGCAAATTGGTACATTCTATTTTGGGGTTACGGTTACCCCCAGGAATCGGTTACAATGCGACTCGCTCCCTTCCTCCCTCCCTCCGGCACATACTCGTATACTCATTAGCGCGGTGCCCGTTATCATCAATTTGCATTAAATAACGAAACGCTAAAAAAGTTTAACGACAAAACAAATTGCCAACTCCTCTGCGACGACGACAACAACAATAACAGCAGCAGCAGCAGAAGCAGCAGAAAGTGGAGCTCTTTTTTTTTTGCCGTTGATTAACAATTTGTGTGCTTTTCCTCTGCTTCCCTTTGCACCCACCCACCCAGCGCTGTACGTGTGGCTGTTGTGGAAGTGTGTGTGGTGTGTGTGGGTGTGTGTGTGTGTGCCTCTTGATGTATTTATTTATGCGACACGCGAAATGATAGATTTCTGCTCTCCACATATTTATCAAAATGAAAAGCAGCCAAGTCGGAATCCGGAGTGCGACCCACAGCTCGGAGAGCGAGAGGAGGCAGGCACGAAGCGAAAACAAAGCTCAAGGGAGACCCGAACGGGATGCCGATGCCCCTTGCCACCCCTTGGCCCATCGCACTGCAGGGCAGCGAGCAAGCAGACATTTTTTTTTTTGTTGGCCCTTCATGGCAATGTCACGACGCGGGCTGAATGTTAAAAATTCCTTGATAAATTATATGACACGGCATCATGTGTCACACGGGGGTGGGGGATGGGGGTGGTGACAGCAGCAGGAGCAGCCAAAGTAGGCGTCCCGAATCGGGGGCACAAACACAAATAGACGGACGTGCAAGGTTGTGTGGAGATGACGGAGCTGTCAGATTCGGTGGCAGCGCAAGTGGGAAATAATTTGAATAATCTTCGTTACTGGGGGGAATTTGTCTATAGCTGCCGGGCTCTGATTCGCGAATTCGGGTGCGGCGGGGTGCGGGGGCGGATCGTACTCCAGACTCGTACCTGGACGCGACATCCGTGATTGCTGCTGGCAACGAAATGTGTAAAAATATTTCATCTTTATGGCTTTAATATCCTGTATGGCTGGCTGCAAGCAGCTGCCAATATTCCGCCCTTCCTCCGTCCGTCCGTCTGCACTTTGCGCTAAATTTCAAAGGGGATCAATGCGAGCGAAGCCTGCCCAAACATATTAACTTAATATTTCTGCCCCCCGGCCACCAAAAAACCCCGCCAAAGGAGCCAACAAAAGGACCGTTCGGCAGGAGCGTTATGGGAGCTTGTTTGTACGCGTATGAAATGACATTTTAATGCCACGTTATATTTTCATTGTTGTTGCTGCTTGTCACCATTGTTGGTGTTTCTTGCCGCCCTCCGCCCACACCACAGGCCAGGCCAGGCATGCCACAAGCAAGCAGCGAGCAAGCAGCGAGCGAGCATCGAACGGTTTGTGGCAACATGTAAAATCCATTTATTTTGACATGAAACACATAAATCTATATTTGATCCATTTCTTTCTTTCTCTCACCCACACACACACACACACACACACTGACACACACGTGCAGCAAGCAAGCCAAGGGATGGCAAGGTGGCAAGGTGACGGGGAAAGAAGGTGTAAAGTCATTTCCTTGGCTCTATAGAAATTCCCTGCGGCTGCTCGGGCTGCTCGGGCTGCTCGGGCTTTGTCTGCGTGGCTGCTTTAAAAAATCAAATTCGACGTTTCTTATAGAAAATGACATTTATGCTTTTCAATTTCACGTTGCGTTCACTCGCATTACGAGCATCATTCTGCCCCATGTGGTGCATGGAGCATCCACCATGGAGCGTCTCCTAATTGAACTTAGCTCTGGGATAAGACCCAGATAAGAGTGCTCGGAATCTAGTTTGTCAGCCATCGATGATGGGATGGTGACTCCAGACTGCTGACTCCTGACTCCTGACAGGACAGGACAGGGCGCCGCACTCCCTGTGTGCTTGCCATGGAAACTGGAGCCTTCAGTCTCGGGTATCATTGCCAGGGCAGCAGCAGCAGCAGCATAATTGATTATACACAGTGGCTGCAGATACCAGACCAACAGTGCATCTAGCTGCAACATAAACAGAACGCTGGGACGCTGCGATGCTGCCACGCCTCTACCAGGCCACGCCCGAGCCACAGAGAAACAAGTGTGTGTGTGTCATTAGTACTCTTCATTCGGAGCTGCAGTTGGGGCACGGCACTTGCCACAGCTGCCCTGAATGGATACCCATGAGGCGAGGCCAGGCCAGGCCTTGATTGGTCTTGGGATATGCTCAGATTTAAGGGCATTTGGGCCTCGACTCCGACAAACTGTTAATATGAATTATGTTGTAAGCAATGTTGCAACAATATTTGCTACGCAAATGTCGCCCTGCAGCGGCAGCGGCAGGGGGTGTGGGCGGTGCTTTCCTCTCTAATCCACGACTGTGTGTGATCCTGATTCTACGTCTCCTGCCTGCTGCTTGCTGCCTCTCTGCTGCTGGGTTGTGTTGCTGCTTAAACAGCATGGATGCTGTTTCTGCTTGGCCTGCGCTTCGATGATTAATTATATTGCTTTTGTTCTGTTCGGTTCTGTTCTGTTCTGTATATCTGCTGCTGCGTCTTTTGCAATTCAACTGAGTGTGCTTTCCATTTGTCAGAGAGGGAGAGAGAGAGAGAGGGGAGAGAGAGAGAGGGAGAGAGAGAGGGAGAGAGAGGGAGAGTGGGTGTGTGGGTGGGTGTATCTGCGAATGTTTCAACTTTGTTGGCCTGCTCGTAGCCCGTTGCCCGTTACCCGTATCTTGTGCTGCAGCCGACGCATATAATTTATACATATAGACACACACACACACACACATAAATATATGTGCATATATATGTATAGTATATATGTACATACATATATATAGTAGTGCAGGCAATTTACATTGTTCGCCAACGCAGCATTCAAACAATGCGGTTGTGCACTCCCACACACACACACACACACACACAGACACACACACATGCAATTACATTCGCGACGGGTGGTGGAGGGTGTCAGCTGCAGCGGCAGCAGCAGCAGCAGCAGCAGCAACAACAACAACAATGGCTACACACGTTTATTGTATTTGACATTGTTTCAAAAGTTAAGTTGGCTGTGGCCACACATCAGCTCACTCACTCAACTTGTGTGCTGGTCTGTGTGTGGTGTGTGTGTGTGTGTGCTGGTATGTGTGTGTGTGGAATGAAATCATAAATCTGGAATTGCAATTGTAATCATGTTCTGCCCGCAACGAGTGGACGAGGACGACAACGACGACGACGACGCTAAATAGTTGCATCTGCCAAAAAGGTTTAAAGGTTTATTTCACATACATATTTCATCCTCGCAATGTGCTCAAATCGAGTGAAGTGAAGTGGAGTGAAGTGAAGTGAAGTGGAGCAGTAGGCTTTGCCCCTCAAACTAATTTACATCAGTCGGTCAGTCGTGTCGTCAGACCTTTTTTTTGGTATGAACAAAATTTTTGTTTGGAATTAACGCAAGCTCTGAACTGAAGTGCAGTGGAATGGCTCTCAAGAAGAAAGCACAGACCAAGGCGTCGCCCAAGAAGAGGGGGAAGGGCAAGAGTTCCCCAGTGCTGAAGAAGAAGAAGCCCCAAAAGGTGCCCAAGTCCAGCCCCAAGCAGCAGAGCCAGCTGAAGACTCTGTTCAGAGCCTCCAAGTTCAAGACCACATCCCAAGGCAATCCGGTCAAGCGGCAGGCGCCGGTGCCGCCCAAACAGCGAGTGTGGCGCAAGACGATCGTCCGCAACAAGCCGAAGAAGAAGGAGGTGAAGCTTCCGAGACTCTTTCGAGCGGATCGTCGGACCGGCCTGCCCGTCGACTATGAGCGCACCGTGGAGCACGTGATGCACTACGTGAATCCTTATATCGGCAGCAGGCGCAAGCGCACTCCCGAGGAGGAGCTGGAGGAGGTCATGACCCGCATGTTCGTTGAGTTGATTCAGCAGGGAGGTGCTCATCAGGATCCCTGCCACATAGCCCAGCAGCTGCGCTCGATGCTGCAGAAAGGCCAGTGCAACGGCATCGGCAAGGGCAACGGCAACGGCAACGGCAAGGGGAACGGCCAGTGCATTGGAAACTGCAACTGTCAGTTGGGAGAGAAGTGCACCAAGAGTCCGCGGAGTGATGGGCGCAGGGAGAACGCAGAACTGAGCGATTTCTACAGCGCGTGGTGAGTGGCTGTGGATGGGGATTCGAGTATTTTGATTGCCTCTTTCTTTGACAGCAAACGGGGACCCCCGGCGACCATCAGCCCCCTCCTGGGTCCCACCCGCAAGAGCCGGTTCAACTACAACCAACTGAAGATAAGGAGCATTTAGGGCCACCTTTTGCCCTCTCGCCCTGTCCTTAGACGTAGCCATAAATTGTAGTTGCAGATGTTTTTATTGAGTCAAAGAGTTCGCCTTGATTGATCAATCAATAGCAATCAATGGCTTGGCTCACCGGTAAATTAATCGAGTTATGGTCTTGGCAAACCCGAAAGACAAATGTCGGTAAATAAATGAAATTCCACAGCCCAGTCCATTCCACCAGCTGCCTGCTCGTACATATTTGGGTGCTGCAACTTCATCAAATGCAAATACATGCAACATTGATGTGGCAGCTATGCCAAGCAATGCCTCAAATTAAATTTGCAAATTCTGTTGCATGAATGCAACATTTTCCGGCTCTCCTAAAAATAATAATAGCTGCCTGCCGTAAATAAATTTGGATTCGTATTCGAATTCGTACAAAGTGCAGTGTCGAATGTGCAGTTGGGGTCACTCCACTCATATCTATGAATTTATTTGCCGCTCTCAGTGCAAAAATGAAATGAGATTTATGGCTACGCCTGCCCCATGCCCCATGCCCCATGCCCCATACCCTCTGACCTCTCCGGTCCCCTGCTGCAGACCGCAGCTCAACTCTGGCAATTATCACTGCAGACAAAGGCACTCGAATGCATATAATAAATTCATAAATTGATAAATTGAATATAGGGTACTCGAATTTTTCAGGGCTTCTTCAGCAAAAAGAGCTTTGCCTTTGCCTTTGCCCGAACACACAGCAAATACGCAATCAGTGGCCAAATCTTTTAATTAAGAAGTTTACTTACCTGCCTTCCATCTCCTCCGGAGTTGGAGGCGGAGGCGGAGTCGAAGTCGAAGTGAAAGCCGAAAGCTTTGCGAGCGACAAACTTTGCTCCTCGACGATGGCAGTCTCCTGGTACCTGGTACCTGCTTCCTGCTTCCCGCTTCCTGGTCCTCCTGCAATAATAAAATTCACGCTAAACTTAACTAATTTCGCGAAAACTCGATTGAACGTAAATAAAACCCAAATGAAAATTTCACAGCAAGACGCCTTTCCCTCCACGTTCCCGCCCTGCTGCTCCTTTTTTGCTACCTCTGGCGGCGGCACTGAACTGAATTGAGCTCAAAATCAATGTGCGTTTGCGAATAATTCATAAAGGAGGAAAAAATAATATCAGTCGAGCGTGCTAACAACCTCAGCGCCTTTCCTCTTTCCCCTTTCGCCACTCGTTCTTCTCTGCGTTGTGCCCTTCTGCGTTCATCCGGGAGCGCCAGGTGGGTGGGAGGCAACAAGCAAATGAAATGAATCCTTCGGATGTCGGCTTTAGTTATTGATGAGGCTGTGCGTGTGCGTGTGCGGGTGCGGGTGCGTGGCGCACTTGCGGCGTATACGTAATATGCAATCAATTTCCGCACAAAGAAATCTGTGGCGGCTCTGTATGCAGATTGCATGAAGGGATTGACGGCTTCTCTCTGCCAAGAGGTTCGACCTGCTCCTGGTGTCTGCTGATCGAGGGGCAATCTCACTGTATGGTGGTATGATGGTGCCAATATCCCGGGCCCCGCCCATTAGTTATATGCGGCGAATTATGCCAATGTGTTTGGCCAATGCCCCATGCCACGTGACCCATGCCCATGCCCATGCCCTGCCCCCATGCCCATGCCCATGCCACTGCCTCTGGCACACCCATCTCTGCGCTCTCCAGTGCTGCTGCTCATTGGGCGCGACAGCTAAAAAGCCAGCTACGACGCATTGATGTCAATGATGGCGACAAGTGCACTCCGCTTCCGTTTCCGCATCCGCGTCCGCATTGTGCCACTGTCAGGCAGGAATCGATCGAGTGGATGGAGCGGCAAGCGGCAGGAGGCAGCAGGCAGCAGGCGCTATTGGCTCTGTCACTGGGCTATGGCCTGATGGGTCTGTGGGGCCACTTGAGCCGAGTCCCCAAGTTGACAGACAGCTCGCAACGAGCGCGCATTTAACATTGTCTGAACGAGTGCCATTGTGCTGCCCGTGGAGTAGCGCAGCGGCATTGCCAATATATTCGCCAACGCTGCCCCGCCTCTCTAGCCCAGATCGGGTAAGGGGGGGAGGACGAGCCAGAAGTCTCCTGCGTGCAGAAAGTCGGTTAAGCGCCTGGTAAATACGCCAAGTAGCCAGTAGCCTCATGCTTCACACCTCTCCCTGCCAGAACTGGCAACAGCTTTGTGTGCACTAATTTGAAGGGGGCCGCTCCATTTGAGAGTGGATACATCCCCTTTAGCATAATTTGATGCGTTTTTAAAGGCAATTCCACGCCGTTTTGGGCAGTACATTTGCCGGACCAGATCGAGAGCTCTCCTCGGGCTGTGGATGCTGACATCCTCGAGCAAATGTACCCCTCAATTGGCCAACGGCTGCTTGGGCACTGGGCAATGGGCATTGGGCAAAGCAGATGCTTGGCCTGGATGCTGGATGCTGGAACATGCTGCAAATCATCATAATCATAGCCAGGAGCGGGTAGAAGCGGGTGGCAGGCAGCAGCAAGATGCGGATGGGGTAAATATTCAAGTGGCTAATTATGAGGATGCTTCTCTGGTCCTGCTGCTGCTGGTGGCCTCCTTTGGGCTTCGGACAACTTAAAAATGTATAATTTAATTCTGCGGAAAATAATGTTGCGCGTGGGCGCTGAATATTCATGGCTAATTTATCAGCTGTCCTCCTGCCCGTCGGTCAGTGCTCGCTCGCTCCCAATTAGCATTTGGAAGAGATAATTGGCATAAATAGCCAAGGAGCTGGAATCCGCATGGGGCACGGAATACGCAATCTTTCTGGGATCTATCCCCTACGGGTTTTACTCAATCCCATCCCATCTCCCATCCCATCTCGCTCGATTCCCCTGATCCTCTTTCTGGGCTACAACACTCCACACTTAAGGCTCTGCCTTGTTTATCTTTGTCGAATGTGTGTCCACTTGAAGCTTAGCACAAATGTCGAAAAAGAATCGTGTTTGCCCAGCGAATGAGCACTACTCACTCTCATTCGCATTCTCATTGAGAAGACCCATCCTACCCGGCTCCATTTCCATTCTGTGTCCCTCCCCAGCGATACGCGCTATTTGCACTCGAGTCTCTGTGTTGGGCTTGCTCCGACCCTTGAGAGTGTGTGGGGTAGGGCTGGGACAACTGAAATCTTGTTCCGCCAACGCCTTCGCAGCTAGACAGTTGACTTTGCCCCTGAAACACACACCCTCCAGTCTCCAGTCGCCCCTTTCTCATTGTCGCGAGTGCAATCATTGCAGCGGAAATAAAAACTTCATTTTTGGCCCTCAACTACTATGTAGCACAGTGTAGGGATGTGAGAGGATCCTGCAGCTCCTGCGGCCCTGGAGAGCGAGACTTTTACGATTCGCAGCTGTGGCAGTGGCTCGGTGCTCGGTGCTCGGGCGCTGTGATTTTAATATTAAACTCATAAAAGTTCCAGGAGATTCGCTCGCTGTCTCGCAGGCATTTGACAGCTGCTAATCTGTGCCACGATTCTCAGTCTGCAGTCTCCGGGCAGCGGCCAGAAGGCAGACCACCCAAGCTTGTTTGTCCTCCTCTCAAGAAGAATGGTCAACGGCAGATACCGCGACGACTCCTCGAGCCTGTGCTCTGTGTCCATGGGGGGGGGTTCGGGTTGCTGTGTGTAGCCGTGTGGCCGTGTGGCTAAATAAACAAACTAGAAGCCATCGTCGCCATCGTTACCGTGTCATCAGCATTCAGCAGCTGCTCATCGTGTGGCCTGTGGCATTGTCCGTCCTCCTGTTGCTCTCCACACACCACACACCACCCTCTCCCCATACTCCCTTTACTCCCTCCATACACTTGGCCCATCCGTTTGATTGCTATTGTTGCTGTTGCTGTTGTCGTGCAACAATATTGAGATATCGTCTCAAGTGTAAATTGTTATTGACACTTTGCGTAGCGAGGGCTTCAGTTCGGACGGGACGAGACCCCCGGACAGCAGAAATATCATCAATGCCAGTGGCACACACTTCTCCCTGTCCCTGTCCCTGTCCCTGTCCATCCCATCCCATCCCGTCCCGCAGTTCTTTCGCGTGGTTATTTCTCCATTGCTCTGCGTTGCTTGTTTACGTTTCTGTTTGCTTTGTGCATTTGATCGGCGACAAACAGAGCAGCAGAGCAGCAGCAGAGAAGCAGCAGAGCAGCAGCAGAGCAGCTGTCCAACAACAGTTCCTTTTTTTTTGTTTTTTCCAGCAGTCATCATCTTCGACGCTGACGCGAACTGTGAAATTTTTAATTAAACTGTGAAATTTGTTTTTGCTCACACTCTGCTCCCACTATACATATAACTATGTTCACGGCCTGCGAATGCAGTTAATTAAAGTTGAGACTGGGCCCCGGAGAGCGGACTCTGCTTCTGCTGCTCTCTACTCTCTACTCTGCTGTGCACCCTGTTGCTCTGGCATTTGCTTTGGCTCTAAGCCTTTGCCATCAGTAGATGGGACCTGATGTCAGCAAGAGTGAGTAGGGTTCTGTTGTCACAGTTGAATAGGGGGAAAAACAGGGGAAAAAACATGGAAAATACTCGGAAAACACTTGTACTGGCCGCACCCCCTGACCCACACCCGCACACCCGCACACCCACACACCCACACAGTCAACCCCCTTCATAAGTCAATTGTATATTCAAGAGTCGGAAAACGAAGATGATTGAATGGAACATCATCAGCGGACCCTTCTGGCTGGTTGCTCCTCCTCTGTGTTGTGTTCCTGTTCCCGTGCCCGTGCCCGGGCCCCTCTCCTTGCAGACAAGAGACTTATGGCAGACTTTTGCGAAATTCGCAATAAAGTGAATCGTTTCGTTGAGCTCATTTCAATATTCTGTTTAAGCATTTTATAATATTATCATTGTGCCTTTTATATTAAATTCCGAGGAGCGAGAGAGCGCAGGACGCACGAACAGCGGCAGATTCATTTTTTATGTGCTCGCAGAGGAGCGGCAGCAGCAAGAGCAGGAGCATCCTTGGCGGATGACGATGCGTCCTGCCAGTGGAATACGAGCACGAGTATATGTTAATAAAGTGCGTAAACTCGACCAAAATATGTACATTGGATGAGGCTTCAGCCTTTCCTTTGCTTTCCCTTGCTTTCCTTTCCCTGCCTTTGCTTTCCCTTTCTCTTCTCTGAAAATATGCATGATTGTGTACGCTATTGTAGTGTATTCATGCAGTGTGCTTGGCCTAAC